AGAGTAGGATCCTCACTATTACTCAAGAGTGAGGGATGCAGCCTGTGAAGCACTGTGGACACAGGTCACAGACTACAAACGTAAACTGAGTAACGTTTATGACTTCCTCGTGCCACTGTAGTTTTGCTGGATTTATGATGTTCAACTTAGCTGCTGTTTACATGACACAGTTAGCCTGCTGGAGTCCTTAAATGATATAATTATCAAATAGAAAAGAGTCTGATATGTACATTATGCACCAATATATTCATCTAAGATGCCATGTCACTCGTACTTTTATCACATTCATTCTTTCCTTTCTTTTGCTTTACAAACATAAAAGCAATGAATACGAAGATTCTCATAAACCAGATGTAAACAAGACAATATCTTTCTCAAAACATTAAAGAATCCAAAGAAAAAGAAAAGTTACTTCCATCAAATACAAGCAAAAGATTACTTTGAAGACAGAGTGCTAAAGTTGTCCAAAACTTCTTTCCTCAAAATGACATCCTCTACAGTGGCACTTGAACACCTTATAAACTAAACCTATAATTTATTTTATTTATTTTCTTTTAACATATTCAAAAGTGGGAGACAGAAAGCAATGAGCACATGGATACTTAAAGAAAAAGAAGAAGGAAAAAAAAAGAAAAAAAAAAGGCAATCATCTTTGGATATGGGGAATTTAAAGGCATCAGGGAATTCCCAACAGAATCCATTCAGGACCAGTGGGAAATGCTCCTCTGTTCTATGGTTCTTTTCTGCAGAAGTTTCTCCAGTACTTGTCTGTGTATAGTTGAGTTGGCATTGAAATCATTATATCACCTATATAAAAATGTGATCATAAATCAAAATAAAAAAAAAATGTATTTGAAAAGCATCATTGGTATTGTTTTAAAAATCTATAGTCGGTCATAATGTCATGATATCATTTGCTTTCTTCAAGTGTAACTCTTATACCAGGCAAAAGACTGCCTCAAGCCCTTTTATATGTACAAGGGGAAGTCAGCTTTCCATAAATCATAGAGACAATGCACTATAACTCATAGTCTTCCTAAATAGAGCTATTCATTATATATTAAAATTCAAGAGCTTTACTCTACACAACTAGACATTTTTTCTCCATAATTCCCAATTCACAAATCAAATTTATATCTATATTACATGAGTTTAAAGTTTTCCACTGGGTAGAGATGAAAAGCTTATGCATATAAATTTAGCTTAACATATCAAATAAAACATTACTACCATCATATATGTATGTATGTCTTGCCAGAGGCTAAATATATGAGTAACTTCTATAATGTTTATGTATTTTTTTTTGGATGGATATTGTGCTGCGGAATTCATTTCCTGTGACATCTACCATTAAATAGAAAAAAAAAGACAAAGGTGGAGATTTGATAGATCTATTATTGACAGGGAGTAAAAATCTACGAAGTATGATCTTCTAACATGTAACATACATGGGCAAGTTTACAAATCACAGATGCATAGAAAGAATAGATGCTGACACATTAACTGTTCAAGAGACAGACTTAATATATTGTGGCAACGTGGGAATTTACTCTACTTTTTGGTCGCTCTACAAAGTAGCAAAACATAAATCTTTGACATATTATGATGCAATATAACCTTACCCTGCTCTGTATAAACCTTTTTTTTTTTTTGACATCCTACATCCTACTCTGCCAACTCCTTGAGTTACACTTCATCCCACAAAATCTGAGCATATTCAACACATGACGCTAATCAGCAGGGCCTGTCGGCAGGTAATAACCCCTTCCCTCAGACAGTCATGCCCACACTGTCCGTCCTTAATTAGTCCGCAACAATCACAGGAAAAGCACACTTCTGCTCAGACTTTTTGGCCGTCCAACCCCTAGCGAGCAAGAGAGCCCATGGGAGGGGTGGGGGAAGAAACGGCCTCGGGATCTCCACTTCGTGTTATTAGTTAGCTAAGATGGAATCATAGAATGGTGCACTTGGCCAGCCAACTACTGATGGGCTTGCGTGGGGGCTCATTGGGCTTGATCGTGTGGCCGCCCTTGGGGGGATTGCTGGCCTCCTGGAAGAATGAAAGAACTCTATTAAGGACAGAATATGTGGGGGGGAAAGACATGGAATGGTGACATACCAGTCACCAAAAATATGCATTTTATAAGATTAATACTAAAAGTGAATCTGATTCTAAAAGCTTTTATGATTTTGTAAATAGAAAGTCCTTACATAATTTCTAGGCATTAACATATAGATTTATACAAAACATCACACACATCTCAAATCTCCACACAAAACAAATAATTTGCATTCAAACACTGCAAAACTTTGCTAATGCCTTTAAACAAAATATTACAATAATCAATAAACAAAATCAATCAAAACACTTACACTCTTATTAAGCCAATAACAAGAAATGAAATTACATAAGCATTATCAGAACATGCACATGCTGAAGAACTCTTCTTATCATTGCATAAATTAACCCAATGCTGCCGGGGATGGCATGTACACTTATGCCATGCGCATTGTAAGTTAATTTATTAATTGTCTTTGTATGCTTAGTCACCAAGGAGTCATTTACTAGTTCAGCCTATCTCACCTGCTTACTCTTTTCCTTGATTTACAGAAATGTTTTTTTTTTTCTCATATTGCTAATAGTATTTTTAATAACATTATAATATCAATAATGTCAAAAATAATACTAACAGAACCAATATTAACAGAATCAGTAAAAAAGGAGGAAATAAGGTGAGGTTACTAGGTCTACTAACTGACTCTTTGGCGGCTGAGCAATTGTGGAACCATCTGTAAATATACTTCACAAAACAAAGCATGTTCCCAGCAGCATTGGGTTAAATCTGAGAAGGCTACTACCTATTACTTTGCGTGATAAAAACTCTTCCAAAGCAAAAAAATAATTAAAAAGAGAGAGAGAGAGAAGAAAAACACACTGTAAGGCCTCCACTCAATCTCCTCCTCAAGTGTGCAGAAGAAAACAACACTTGTCTACAGTCCACTCATGTTCTCAGCCAATGACCAACACAGAAATTTAAAAGTTCCTGGCCACATAAAAACAGTTCTATTAGATTCTGCAGTGAAACTTTTTAAACCTCTTACAGTTGGGCACACCTATAGCTGTCATGAAAAACCAACTCATCATGGCAGGCATGACCTAAAGTGAGTCAAGCAGGAAGTTCCGCTATAGGTAGCAGACTCCCTGGCCAAAAAGCTAGATGGTTGCCAGAAGTCATCGGAATGAGTGACACTCAGAGATTTCTGGTACTGTCATTGTAGGATTAACAGAGGCTACAGTTTACTATAAATAAAAAAAATGACTCTTTTATTCACATAAGGATATCACAAAAGATATAACAAACTCATTCCAACCTATGAAACTACATAAAACTTGCATATCAGATTTATGAAAATCATGAAAATATTTTAATGTAAATCAGTATGTAAATATCTTAAATTAAATAAATAATCATCCCTAATTGAAATTTCACATAAACATCTTTGCTACTACCTTTTCCATCTACAGTTTCATGGAGATTAATCCTTGCAGAATACATTCAGACATATTGAATCTGCACTCATTTTCCAAAGAAAACCCAACAATACTGCAAGTCACTGGGGAAGTATGGTGGTTTAATTTGTATAAAAAGACTATCTAAAATATGTAGAATATGTGACAAAATCTGAAGACTTAACTATAAAGCCTTTCTTTTTTCTTTTTTTTTAGCTGAGTTGCTCATTTTCATAAATCGCGATGAACTTTTGTCACAATCTACGCTAAACAGACGGTTATAGAAATCATCCAAAATGGCACCACATCAAATGTCCGTAAAAACTGCATTATTGCGAGCCTTTTGAAACCACAAGAAATAATAATAATCATACATACATAACTACTTACAACAACCTACATTACCCACACCACTATTAAACTCCAAAATCAACAATCTCTCCAATAAACATGTTCCACTTCTAGCTTAACAAGACACATATCCACCTACAATTTTGTGGAAAGAAAATATAATTCTCAGAGTCTAGAAAATCAACCAACAGCAACAACAACAAAATATATATAACAGAAAATTCAATATATATAATACAAATGCTCTGGAGGAAAAGGGGGGCTGCTGTGAATCATTCATTATGTGAAATAGAAACCAAAAACCAAATTAAAAACAATTAATTGCATGCTCTCTTTTAAATAACATAACATTACCTTCTATAGAGCCAGTGAAACAACATAGCAGACAGGTAGAACAGAAAAAGAAAAGTGAATGAAAAAAAATACAAAAAATATTAATATATTTTTTTCAAACAAGTCCATTTACATGTATTGTGAGATTGTGACTCAGACAGAAATAATTATGTGTTTCAGATGGAAACAGATGGAAACACAGAGATGGAGAACATGTATGTATATAACTGTTTATGCATGCATGTATGTATATCTGTGTATATATGTAGATGTGTGTGTCAGGCTGCAATTTTTTTTTTTTTTTTTTTCACTTGTCCAGGAGGACAAGTACACCTGACTTTCCACTCGTCCTCTTCTGAATACCACTTGTCCGAAATATTTATATATATATATTATAAAGAAATTTATGAACTGTGATATATGAAACTAATATAAATAACTAATATATGAAACTAATATAAACAAATATGGCAGCCTCCATAATCATAGAACTAAAAGGAACTAGACCTTGCTAGATTTCATTAATTTTAGGGAAAAATCTACTGGAAATTTTTACTCGTCCATGCGGACAAGCGAGGTAAACATTTTACTTGTCCTCCACAAGTTTACACTCGTCAAAGATGTGTGGACGTGGGATTTTTCGCAGCCTGTGTGTAAGTTGGCAAGTATAAAAGCATGCCAACCTGTCTGCCTGCTTGCCTGCCTGCCTGTCAGTCTGCATTTATGTGTGTATGTAAGGGCCAAGATATATATATGAAATATATGCATGATGTTTTCATTTATTTATGTATATATGTAATGTGCACTTATTGATATAGTTATCAAAATATACACCTAAATATATTTACAAGTGTGTCCCTTTCCATGCGATGGTGCAAATGCCTGTGTTTGTGTGCCAATGCATGTGCACATGCTACTTTTTGGCAGTGAAACAGTATACTGAACTAAGAGAATTTAAAAAAAAGTGCCTCTCTGTCTATTTCTGCAGAAACATTAGCAAAATCTGATAAATAATAATAAAAAAAATACAAACAAAGTAAAAAGAAGATTCAAAAGTTATTCAGTTTCACATTATACCATTCATAAAATAAATATCGTTCAAAGCACACACAACCCTGCTCATTCCCCTTGCAGCCGCTCACTCTCTGCCCTCACTTCCTAACCAAGTCCCATTCTGTTCTAATTCTTTATAATTTGTTTCAATCTATCCTATAACTTCTCATAAGCCACAACCATGCCATTAATTTCAAAAAGAGAATGACCATTACAGTGCAATACTATCTCAATGAAATAACATAAAGAGACCTGTCACCTATCCATTTATATATGTTTTCCGCCATATCAACCAATTTTTAATGTACTATTTTTAAAGGACACAGCAAACTATATTTTCCTTTTTCTTGACACAATATCACACACATTAACAAAAAAAAGTAATAAATAAGTATTCCTATTACCAGTTTATGGCTGTATCAAGGAAGTATGGCATAAATTTGGAGAATACACAGCTGTATTAAAAAAAAATATATATATACACAAATGGATGCTCCTTCAAGGTAATAGCATTCCATATCAATTAAATAAGTCTGAAGGTAAAAAAAACATGCTAAGTAAATAGAAATTTGTAAGAAAACACCAATCAGGCACAAGTGATTGCAGTATAACTTTAAAAAATGTAATTTCAATTACATATAAAAACAAGCATTTCTGAATTAGAAAGAATCGACACAAAGAGTATATGTTCTTAATTTAAAATGAATAGCATACCTAAAAGCTTTTATATTAATTTTTTATACCTTTGTTTATTACCATGATTTACAGAAGATTTAAAATTCACCTTATAACTTATATCTCCTATAACCTTTATTAATATCAGTAAGTTATTAAATTTTTCATACACACATCCTTTTCAAGACTAGATGTTAATATGCCTCTTTTCTATTAACACACAGTCCTTCCACCAAATGAGAATGAGGATTTTTTAAAATTTAGTTATAATTTATTCTATTCAGCTTAAAATCTGCATATCACTAATATCACTATCATGTTAATTCATAAATTAGTACAGCACATAAACAAGAAATTCCTATTTTCTTTCACACATTTTCTGCATTAACAGTGAAAGTATTTCTACCAAAAACACTTTAAAAAAAAAGAAGACTATCTGTACAATTATCTTGTGAAATAATATATATACTGAAAAAAGATACTCACCAATTTCTTCTCCATCTTGGCCTTAATATCACGTGCAAGGGTGAAAAAAGCGTCTTCAACATTAATGGAAGCCTTGGCTGATGTCTCCATGAATTTTATCCCATACTCTATGGCCAGTTGCTCTCCCCTTTCTCGAGATACCTGAAAATGCATTACTCCTTGTTAAAAAGGATATCAAATATGAAGTATTGTGTCAAGAATAAATTTCTCTGACTGTACAAAGGAAATACACTATTATCCTGAAGCCTAATATGACTTTTGATCAAATGATTTTTATAAGATGTACAGACATGGACCTTTATATGTTTTTGTTGACTAATCCTTGTGCTCTGAATATTTTTCTCTAAATAAATTCAAATTTCTAAAAATGTACTACACAAAACCGATATGCCCAGAGCATCATTTTAAACTTTGTATACTTATCAGAATTAAACAATTTTGATATGTAAGATACTTTAGACTGATGGGTCCCATCAAAGATGTCATTAATTGTAAAATATGTAGCATGACGGCTCTAAATCATTACATGTATCTGAGTATACCTGTCTTTATTTTGGTTTCTGTATCATAGGCATGCATTCATTCTAAAAGATTTGCATGTTCTTTTCTTTAAATAGTTGCAATAAACTCAAGTTTTCCAAAACTTACTTGTCTCTTGTCATTCATATCACATTTATTGCCAAGGACCATTTTCTCAACATCTGCTGATGCATGCTCTTCAATGTTCCTTATCCTGAAAAGAAGACAATCCTGATCTTAGTTTCAAAAGAAATGGAAGAAAAAATACAGCCTTTAACATTCATGATGACTATGTTCCTAAACCCTGTGTGTGTCTTAAAATTCATGAATGTATGCTATGCTAAAATCACGGTAATTTTGAAATCACTGGGTGTAGGTAAATATTAAAAATATTGTACATGCACACATATGTATGTAAAACATTGTTAATATCCAACACTAGTCTATGAGATTTGCATCACTTTGGAAACCAATAGTAACCACTCGAGGATTTAAATTATATAAAAGCTTCCTTACTTTCCATACAGAGTACATACAGGATATATCACAAATGTTAGATACAAGCTTGCCATGGTACTGAAGATCTATGGCTTTGCTCTCTCATTTCAGATACCCTGGTAATGGACTGCCTTTAAAAGTCATTCTGTATCCCTGTTCTTTTCATGTGGTACAAATTGTATTCATGTATCTTTACTGCTTATTTTTTTGTTCTTATAACAACAAAAGCATGTGACTTATATATGAAATGCCTCAAATGTCTTAGCTATTAATGAACAATAAGTACTTGATAACCAGTGAAACTCTAAAGCTATTAAGATTGTCATGGCCGCAAAAAGACTAATCCTGGTCACTCTTGCATATGTCTTATTAAATACTATGTATATTCAATATTTGTAGACAAGCACCACACAAATCTCTGAGGCTTTTTGCTGTAATTTATCATCAAAAGGTTTTCTGAAGGTATTTTCATGCTTAAAACATTTTTCACAGTATTCTATTTTGAATCTCTCACAAATGCATCCGTTGGTCCACAGTTGTGTCCATAAATTTTCATACATAATTAGGAAAAGTTTGTGGATAATTAGATCTGCATGTTAAATGCCAACAGTAATACCCTAAAACCTTAAAATATTCAAAAGATACTTAAAAAAAAAAGAAAATTTTGAAAAAAAAAACATAGAAATAAAAAAGATGGGAAAATAGGAGCTTTTAGCCAGGGTGGCAACAAACAGGAAAAAAAATCTATATATCTATATATATAATATAATAATAATAATAAGAATAATAATAATAATGATAATAATAATGACAATAATGATATTAATGAGAATAGTATTACCAATAATAATAATAATATAATATATATATATACACATACATACATATATATACATATATTTTATATATATATATACCTATATATATATATATGTGTGTGTGTGTGTACATATACATCTATATCTGTCTATCTATCTATATATATATATGTGTGTGTGTGTGTACATATACATCTATATCTGTCTATCTATCTATATATATATCTATCTATATATATACACATACATACATATATATATATATTAATATATATATATAGAGATATATATATATATGTATATACATATATTTATGTATATACATATATATATACATATATACATATATTTTATATATATATATAACTATATATATATAATATAGATATATATATATATACATACATATATATACATATATTTTATATATATATATAGTATATATTATATATACATATATACATATATTTTATATATATATAAATATATATAATATATCTATATATACATATATTATATGTATGTCATACATATAATATATATATAGATATATAATATATATACATATATTTTATATATATATATTAATATATATATATAGATATATATATATATATATATATATATATATATATATATATATATATATATATATATATATATATATATATATGTATATGTATATGTATATGTATATGTATATGTGTGTGTGTGTGTGTGTATATACACATACACACACATGTGTAAACATATATATACATATACATAGACATATATACATACATACACACATATAAACAATAATTTGTATACCTTATCTTTATAAAAACACTGTGGGCTCAATGAGGCTTTCCCAAAGGAAATGCCATTAAAGATATTTACACATTCATAATTAACCACTGGACAGGATACCCTTTCTTTTTTTTCTTTTCTTTTTTTACCTTTTTTTTTGTAAATTGTTTCAATAAACAAATTACATATATATTTCCTTTTAAGCTTATGCAAACTGTATCCTCGACAATACCAGATCTCAACTCAAATGAATCTCTCTTTTCCAAGGATGTTTGCAGTATAACCCAAGTTACCATTAACTCTAATCTCTTTTCCAATAACAAATAAGCAACACAAAGTCACGGCTCAGTCAGCCAATCATGCAGTCATGCAAGTTAATTTCTGGTTCCTGCATATTATGATAACCAATGTTAATGAAGTGGGACAGTGGTATTTAATATGATAATGAGAGCTCTTTCAAGAGATTAAAAAAAATGTATTTCTAAAACAACATACATTATAATTACAACAATAATAAAAAAATAAAAAAAAATAAAATTAGTAAACACAACAAAAATAATAATAATAATGATAACAACAATAATAATAAAAACATAACGATAAAAAAACAACAATAAAAAAATAATAATAACAACATAATGATAAAAATGATGATTATGATGATGATGATAACAGTAATAATAATAATAATAATGATAACAATAACTATGATATTAATAGCAACAACAACAATAGACTAATAATCATAATAATAATAGCAATAATAACAATAAAAAAGTAGTACAAGCATCAATGATAAAGATCATTACCATCAATGATAAGTTTAATAGCTAATAATAATAATTAGAGCTAATAATAATAATAATAATAATAAAAGAACAATAGTAATAGCTAGTTTTTCCCAAAAAGATAAGGTGAAGCCATGTAGGCCTACTAATGGACTCCCAGGTGACTAAGCACTGTG